AGATGCTGACCCTGGGGGGCCGGCGATGCGGTGCAGGGGTTGTGCTCAGCCAGGCCAGCACCCCGTGTGTGTGCCCATTTGTGTTCTGGTCGCTCCCCACTGACGTTCCTGGGAGAGCAGCAGGGGATGGCCCGAGGGCGTGAGCCCCTGCACCCACGTGGGAGCCTTGGCTGGAGTTCCCCACTCCTGGCTTCAGCCAGGTCCAACCCTGGCTACTGCTGCCATTTGGGAAGTAAAGCAGAGGATGGAAGATCTCGCTCTCTCTCTGTCTGAAACTCTTCCTTTCAAAGAAATAAATTCAGAAAAATATTGGACTTGCTTAAACATCACTAAAACCTGGGAATTTTTTTAAAAGATTTTATTTATTTGAAAGAGTTACACAGAGAAGGAGAGGCAGAGGCAGAGAGAGAGAGAAAGAGAGAGAGAGAGGTCTTCCATCCACTGGTTCACTCCCCAGTGACCACAATGGCCGGAGCTGAGCCGATCTGAAGCCAGGAGCCAGGAGCTTCCTCCGGATCCCCCACGCAGGTGCAGGACCCAAGCACTCGGGCCATCCTCCACTGCTTTCCCAGGCCACAGCAGAGAGCTGGATCGGAAGAGGAGCAGCCGGGAACCAGCGCCCACATGGGGTGCCGGCACTGCAGGTGGAGGCTGAGCCCAGTACGCCACAGCACCGGCCCCAAACCTGGGCACTTTTTGTGCAGGTGGCCCAGTTGCTGCAGCCCGTGGGGGGACTGAGTGACAGCCGAGAGGGCCTCGTGAGTCCTTTCGTCTCTGATTCTGAAGACGGGCTGTCTGCCTGCCGTGCAAAAGGTAGGAGCACGTGCCAGGTGTGAGGACGCCGAGTCCCCGTGGGGGTCCTGTCGGCGGGCCCGCCGGAGCTGCCTGCTGCTGTTGCCTGGTGGAGCTAATGCAGTTGGTTACTCGGGTCCCTGCGGTCCGCCAAGTCTCTGCCGTCTCAGAGGAGGAGGATCGGTACCGACAGCGGCGCCTTCCAGACGACGGCCGACTCGGGTTAGGCTGGTGGCTGCGGGAAGTTCCACCTCCCGACGCGCTCCGGCTCAGAGCTTGCTGAGCGTCCGGCTGAACTCTCTTCGGTGGATTTTTGCAGAAATGGGACAGGGATCTGGGAGCGGAACCGGAAGATGAGGCAGGGCTGGCTTCGGGAACGAAGCAGGTTGGTTACAGGAAGCCGGAGGCAGCAAGACGAGGGGACCCCGGGTCTCCCACGGGCGAGGCTGGGAGGAGTGGGGGGGGGGGCGACAGAGACCCCCGTCCCGGGGGAGGCCTCCCCACCCGGAGCTGCCGCCCAGCGCAGGTGGGCTTTGGCCTTGCCTGTTCTCTTACACGCGTGTACTTAGATGAACATACGGCTTCCTTGAGTTGGGCAGCGCATACTCGGGGCAATGCAGAAGTGGGCACAGCAAGCGAAAGCAGTCGCGGCCCCTTTGTGCGTTCTGACTGGTGCACGGAGAAACGCGCTTTCTCCTCCGCGAAAGCCGGCCTGGATCGCTCTGCAGGCTGCACGCAGGCCCACCTCCCCCCAGCGACCCTGCCCCCTGCTCATCTTCCTAACTTGAAGAACCCACGACCACACGGAAATCTCCGTGTGGATATCGGTAACAGCTTTGCTCACAACACGGAGCCACCCGGAGGCCCCCAGTGAGTGACGGTGGAGCGAGACGGGCGCCCTCAGGGCCTTGGTGAGAGGCACCCGCTGTGCGGTTCAGCTTCCAGGAGGGCGGAGCGGGTGAGGCCCAGGGCCCACGTGGGGACGGGAGGCTCAGGACACCTGCGTTCAGCGGGAGGCCCAGGACCTCGCAGCGAAGGGAGGGGTCCCACAGAGGTGAACGTAAGCCAGGCCGGCCACAGATAGAGTCCAGACCGTGGCCAGAGAAGCCCACGGCGGTAGGAGGACCTGAGGTGGCCCCGCTGAGGCTGTCGGGCCGGAGCTGAAGGGAGCCAAACTCCAGGAAGTTGTTGCAGTGGGGGTGGACGTGGGAGCCAGGTTCTCGCCCCGGAGTGGGAGTCGATGGACGTGTGCCTGGAGGAGGTGAGAAGGATGCTGTGGCCGTGGGTCACCGTGGAGACATCAGCGTGGACTCCACAGACACAGCCGGACACATGTAAAGTACAGATCAGGGTATGTGTGTGTCTAAGTGGGCACGCACAGGTGTGTGCACTTACACACGTGTAGATATAGGTGTTTACATGCATGTCCGTACGTGTGTGTATGATTATGTACACACGTATGTCCTTGCTCTGCTAGGTGAGAGAGCCTGGAGGCAGTGACCCCCAGGAGCAGGAAGCCCCAGATCTCATTTCCAACTCCATCCCCAAGACAAGGGGCTGGGGCTCCTGGGGCAGGGGGAGTGGTTGATTCCCGGGCTGGGGATTATGTCAGATGACCTGGGATACCTTGTAGTGTCAGAAATTTAGGTAGTGCCCTGCACGTGTGCACACACGCATGCACACACGTGTGCACTCACACACACATGCACATGCAGTGACAGGGTCAGAGACACAGGAGAGCCCCGGGAAAGCCGCTGGTGGTGAGCTGAACCTTTGCAGGGAGGCAGTGGTCATACAGTGTGAGATGGTACTTTGAACACAGTGTGGTATCAGTCTGCTCTACGCAGCGTGCGAGGGAGGTACTCGTGAGCTCATCCTGACGCAGACAGAGATTGAACAAATGGAGAGCAAAGCCCCTTGCTGGGGACCCTGCCCGGAGGTGTGTGCTGTGGCTTCCTTCTGGAGAGTGCATGGAAGTGGGAAGCAGATGCACCTGCCGCACGCTGCGTCGGCCGTGGTCGGGAGCCATGTGAGCGGGGGCCGGGGCGTGCACCCTGGCGACCCTGACGAGAGCCGGCTCCGCCTCTGGGGCCTCCCCAGAGCCCCAGCAGAGAAGCAGAGACAGCATCTCCCGGGCTGAAAGCCGTCGGAGCCGTCCAAACGAGGGCAGTCTCCGGACTCGGAGCAGGATGGCAGGTGCAGGCTGAGGGGGTCTGGGGGTTGTGTGCCGTGAGGAAGGTGTTGGCTGACGGAAGACGCCAGGGAAAGAGGGACCTGGCCATGGGGTTGGGAACTCTGTGCTGTGCGTGTGACTTCCTGGAGGCAGGAAGCCCTGGGGCCTGCCCTGTGTGCCCTGGGAATCCACCAACCACGTGGTGACCAGCTTTGTCTCTGTCTGTTGTCTTGGGATAAACCCGTGGGTGGGATTATTGAAACAAAGGAAGTGTTTCCATACTTATGTTACAGAAAAGAAATATTACACCTCCTTGTCTTCCCACTGCGGGAAGAATGAGAGAACCCGTTCCCGTTTCTCTTGGGCTTTCCCCCACTGTGGGTCAATTGTTTAGAAACAGTGCCATCTTTTGTCTGGATTGACACTTCTCTGATCGGGTTTCCGGTCCTAGCGGCTGGGTGAGCCCCACAGGGGGGACGTTGTGGGGTGTTCAGAACGCACAGAGCAGGTGTAACAGTATCCACCGAGGAACTGCAGGCTTGCGTTTCTCAGCACTCCCTTTGCCTGGGCTCTGTGTTTCCCGTTTGTTGAACTCCAGAAACAAAACTGTAGGAGGAAGGAAACTAAACGCTGCTGTTTGGCGGGATGGGAAGCTATGAGACTGGGTGGGTTCGTGAGGAGTGGCCAAGGAGTGGCCTCCCTGGGCCTCGTTCCCGGAGTGCACCGGTCCTCTCCTCGCTGTTAGAATCGGAGCCCCAGCAGTGCCCCAGGAGAACGCAGGGTGACACGGACGGAGTCGCGGCGCCAGCTGAAGTTTTCCTCCAGAGTCGGTCATCGGCCCGTCCGTCTGTCCGTCCTCCACCCTGTTGGTATTTTTCAGCCGTTCTGAAGTGCCCCATGGCCGCTGCAGCGGTGTCGCCTTAAGCGTAAGTACAGCGTGCAGTCCAGCTCCCTGGCTGCCGCGGGCTTGGGGGACACCCGGCTGGCCGCCCTCCACCGTGCGAGGCAGCCGGAGTGTCGGGGCAGCGACGGCACTGAGCCAGCACCGACTGCCTTCCCGCCCACTGGTCTGACTCTGTGCGTGGAGAATGCTCTCCGACTCACCTGGTCGGGTCTCCCCGGGCTGCGGAGGCGCTGAGATCATCCGTCAGATCGCAGCCCCCTCCGGGCCGGGCTTGGTGAGGGGTGTCCACGCACGCGGTAAAGGCTCCTCTGTGTTTAGGCTGGCAGTGCGGTGACAACCTGAATTCTCTTTAGGCAAGAGGAAGCAGACCTGCAGGGATACACTGGAAAAGAAAAACTTCAATTTAAACTTAGTTTGCTATCAAGAGTGCCTTTGCTTTGCTTTTCTATAAATCTGATTATCACAGGAATTCTTTGGTCTCCGTGGGAAACTGACTTCGGCTGTGCCGCCTAAAATTGTCATCGATATTTCGTGACCTCGCACAGTGCGCCCCTCCCACTCTTCCAGTGGGATTGATCACAAGGTTCCGGGTCCACCTGCTGGCTTTCGCTTTATCCTTTTCCTCGTCTTTTCTGTCATTTGTCTCGTGAAATCTCCTCTATTCAGTGAGAAGGATCGGCCTGGGGTCCTGACTGTGAGGGCAGATGTCATAGGGGTGTTGTAGGGAGACCAGAACCACACGCTTAGCACAGTCGGCAGCAAGAGGGGTTTGCTGGTGTAGGCTGACCACAGGGGAGCATGGGGGATTATTCCTGGGTGACAGGGTAGGATTTTTTTTTAAGATTTTGGAAGTTTAGGGTCAGTGCCGTTTCTCACTTGGCTAATCCTCTACCTGCAGCGCTGGCATCCCATATGGCCGCTGGGTTCTAGTCCCGGTTGCCCCTCTTCCAGTCCAGCTCTCTGCTGTGGCCCGGGAGTGCAGTGGAGGATGGCCCAAGTGCTTGGGCCCTGCACCCGCATGGGAGGCCAGGAGGAAGCACCTGGCTCCTGGCTTTGGATTGCGTAGCTCAGCCGTAGCAGCATTTGGGGGTGACACAGAGAGACTCTCTCCTCTCCTCTACTGCTACTCTATCTGTCAAAAAAGAAAAAAAAAGTTTATTTAAAAGGCAGAGTAACCAAGAGAGAAGGGGACACACACACACACACACACACACACACACACACAGGTCTTCCATCTGCTGGTTTGATCCTCAAATGGCCACAACAGCTGAGGCTAGGCCAGGCTAAAGCCAGGAGCTTCGTCCAGGTCTCCCATGCGGGTGCAGGGCCCAAGCACTTCAGCCGTCTTCCACTGCTTCCCCAGGCCACAGCAGGGAGCTGGATCGGGAGCGGAGCAGCCGGGCATGAACTGGCGCCTGTATGAGATTCCTGTGTCACAGGTGGAGGCTTTACCGATACACCGCAGCGCTGGCCCCAGTCTCAGCAGATTTTTAAAAAATTCTTTCCTGCGTCTAAAATATTTTCCCTTCTATAGTGAAATATATTACTTTTAAAACTCAGGATTAGAAAACTGTACGGCGAGGATCTGAGCCTTGAATATCTGTAGCTGGACAGAAGGGGGCGCTCACTCGGGCTGCTTCAGACGTCAGCTGCGTTCTGCTGGGGTGGCCCTGCAGCGGTTCAGACGCCCGCGTCCGGCAGCCCAGTGCCAGGGTGGGACCCAGGCTCCCTTCTCCTGCACAGCAGAGCGGCGACGGAGCCATGTCACTCTTCTGGACTTCATCCGCAGGGAGGCAGACGCGTTCACCGCTTGGACAAGTTGCCTTGGGCTTTTAGGAATACGTTGGAAAGTACCAAGAGAGTCCTGTTGTGAAATTCTTCCCAGCCTTTCACCAAATGGCGGTCACTTCACAGTTTTACCCTTACAGGTTAATGACAGAGGATGCAAGTTAACCACACCGTCCAGGGCGTGCCGCATGCTAACCAGGCACCCGCACCGTCCAGGGCGTGCCATGCGCAAACCAGGCACCCGCACCGTCCAGGGCATGCCGCGTGCTAACCAGGCACCCGCACCGTCCAGGGTATGCCGTGCGCAAACCAGGCACCCGCACCATCCAGGGCGTGCCGCGTGCTAACCAGGCACCCACACCGTCCAGGGCATGCCGCGTGCTAACCAGGCACCATTGTTCTTTGCTTCTTGCCATGTTGTTTCTAACAGGTGCCTGAAATGCTTGCCTTCTTTTGTTAGTGAATGAAGTATTTCGGGCATTGGTAACTTTTTTGTTGGTGGTTAAATGTCTTGCCTGGCCTTAAAGTCATTGTTAAAAACACCCAGAACTGATCTAGGAGCCAGCCCTCTGACGGCCCCAGGGGAGGTATATATAAACGGTTCGCGCTGGCAGGACTTAGCCGACGTTCTCCTGTGTTAGGTATTTTTTGAGTTCCCAGGACTTCACCCTTTCGCTCAGCACCCCCGGAGCAAGCCAGCCTTGTCCTGTCGCTACGGCCGGAGTATCAGCATTCCAAAGCTGGTCCCGGACTGGCGTGTTTAGGTTGTTGCTTTAAGGAGTGAGACTTGTTTGCAGCCTTCTGGTAAACCAGCTCCAACTATGTCTAATGATTTTGTGAAAACCCACTCTTTTCTGGATAAAAATAAAAGCGTCTCCATGGGAACACAGCCCCCCGAGCAGCCTCGTCATTGAGAGGGAGCCTGCGCGTGAGCGGGTGATTGCGTGGGCAGGCTTTTGTAGCCCTCCCATTCTTCCAGGGATTAGCCCTGCGCCAGCGGATTTGTGGGCCTCAGCCTGGCCGCTGCTTCAGGCATGCATGGTATTTCCCCCATAACTCCCTCCCCCAAAAAAGCCTGCTTCCAGTTGCTCCAGAGAAACATGGCCGCTTCTCCCTGGAGGAAACCCTCCGTCACCAACAGCTGCGCCTGCGCCTGCTGTTGCATCACAGACCCCACAAAGCACGGTGCCTGCTGCTCTCCTACGCGCAGGGTTGCCTGTGGCCGCCCACCCCTTCCTGCCAGGTGTGTTCCACACTTGGGTCCGGGGTGGCAGGGCTCTCAGGGCTGTATGGTTGGTGGCTCGCCCGAGGCTGGCCCGTGACGTGGGCTGAGAGCCCAGCTGGCCGGTGACACCGGTGTCCATCCGTCGGGCCTTGTCCGTGTGGCCCGGGCCTCTCCCAGCACGAGGGCTGAGGTCCGGGTGCTTCTTGCCTAAAGTGGTTTGGGCGCGCTGCTCTGATTCTGTTCTGCAGAACAGCCTCGGGGCCTGCCAAGACGCAGGGCGGGAGGACGAGGGACCCCGCCTCGGGACGGGAGCCGCAGAGGTGCGTCCTGAGGGGCTCAGGTGCCGGGGGCGGAGGCAGCGCCCGGGAACCACATCTGCTGTGGCTCACGCAGGCGTCCGGGGAGGAGCCCCACTGGCCGGGAGCTGGGACTGGGCCCTTGGACCTAATTTCCGCTCCAGAGGAAGAGCTCACGGCCACTTCCGTCTCCCACCGTGTCCCTGGAACGCCGTCGTCAGCACAGCCGCCCCGCTGGCAGAACGTGCTCAAAATCCCCGAAACAGAACCGCGTGTGTTCACGAGGGGACAGGTGGCGCGCGCCCGAGCACGGGTCCTGAGCCCTCGTCTGTCGTCTGTCGGGAGAAGTGGCCTTGCTCCCCGGGCGGCTCAGAAGATCCCGGCGACAGTGCCCTTGCTCTCCGCTCCGTTTCTCGGCTTCTGCCTGTTGTGCGCCAGTTTCTAGAAGGTTCCAGCTGTGAGTTCTTGGCGGCTAAGGTTTGGCTACTGTGTTTGTCAGCCACACAGTGTTTCTAATAAGGTCTCCGGTCAATTGCTCGTTCGGGTCTTTGTAATTATACGTGCGGTTAATCAGCACTGACAGTTTTTCAGTCTCTGACGTAAGTTTGCTGATGGAGTGGCTGACGTTGGATTGCTGAGTTCACAGTGGAGGATCCCCGGGCTTAGCTTCTAATTTTCGAGTTTCAGTTGGCTCGTGCTCCTGGAATCTGAGGAAGAACAAACAGCAGCGCTTGTCCTGAGAGAGAAATGCAGACTGAACCGGCGCTTGCCGCCTCTTGGTGGTGAGGGAGGCGATTGTCTGTCTGTAGGCAGCCTGGTGTCTCAAGAGCCTGCTAATTAGCTCGGTGTTGGCGCCGCGCGGCACCCCCGGTAGCTGTGTAATTAAAATGAGCCCTGAGCACACAGCGCCTCGCGTCGCGGCTCCCTTGGAGGGCGGCGTCATGGACAGCTTTCCGACAGTGGCCCCTCGGCCCGGGCGCTCCGAGTGCAGTGAAGAGGCCTGTCCGCCCTGCGCATCTTTTGTGCTGTGTTTTCTGAGATCCTTTAAGTGAGAAACATTCCTACCTTCTCCAGAGTAAAGCTGGGGTTTCAGGAGCCGGGCTCGGGGCACAGCGGAGACCGCCCGCCACGCCGGCATCCCCGCGAGCGCCGGTTCAGGTCTCTGCACTTCTGATCAGACTCCTAAGTGCGCCTGGGAGAGCAGCAGAAGCCGGCCCGAGTGCCTGGGCTCCTGCACCCACGTGAGACCAGGAGCCCCCGGCTCAGCCATTGCAGGTGTGTGGGGAGTGACCTGCCACATGGAAGATCTCTCTCTCTGCCCTCCCTCTCCCTCTCCCACTCTGTCTCTCCAATAAGTCGTTTCTAAAAATCCTGTTTCCAAAGGGGAAAAAAGTTCTCTATGTGGCTGGAGCGCTCAGTGATTTTTCACTGAAGAGAATACAGAAACATCCTGTGTAAGTGGACCAGGAGTTTGACTTTCCTGCCTTCTTTCTTTTTTTTTTTTTTAAAGATTTGTTTGTTTGAAAGAGCCACAAAGAGAGGTCTTCTGTCTGCTGGTTCAGTCCACAAATGACTGCAATGGCCAGGGCTGGGCCAGGCCGAATCCAGGAGCCAGGAGCTCCATCCTGGTCTCCCACGTGGGTGGCGGGGGCCCAAGCACTTGGGCCATCTTCTGCTGCCTTCCCAGGTGCGTTAGCTGGCAGCTGGATCAGAAGAAGAGCAGCTGGGACTCGAACCAGTGCTCTGATGTGGGATGCCGGCTTCTCAACAGCGGCCAAATCCACTGTGCCGCAGTGCCGGCCGCTGGTCTAACTTTGTTAATTTCACTTTTGAGGGGCCAGTGCTGTGGTGTAGCGGGTTAACACCCTGGCCTGAAGCGCCGGCATCCCACATGGGCACCAGTTCGAGTCTCGGCTGCTCCTCTTCCCATGCAGCTCTCTGCTGTGGCCTGGGAAAGCAGTAGAAGATGGCCCAAGTCCTTGGGCCCCTGCACCCGCATGGGAGACCCAGAAGAAGCTCCTGGCTCCTGGCTTCGGATCAGCGCAGCTCCAGCCATGCGGCCATCTGAGGAGTGAACCAATGGATAGATGGCACCTGTATGCTCTCTCTCTCTCTCTCTGCCTCTCCTCTCTCTGTGTAACTCTGACTTTCAAATAAATAAAATAAATCTTTATAAAAAAAATTTCACTTTTGAGCAAAATCCCGGGAGTGCCGTGAAGTCTGGCACTGGTGTGATACGGCCCGGAACCATCTAGAACCTCAGAAGGGTTCATGCGTTCACCGCCCCTTGGTGCCCTGCTGGCCTCGGTGGGTGTGTTAGAGACCCCCGAGGCCTGTCAAGGGGCAGAGCGGCCGTGGGCAGGCTGTCCCCAGGGCTGTACAAGGTGCCTCCTGAGCAAACCGACGGCCCTGCAGCCCCCCAACCCCAACTCGGTGCATCGGGAACTTGGTGGGGCGGCCCCTTTATGCCATCGCTTAGCTGACCTCCGACAGGCACCCAGCTGCAGGTCTGCACAGCCGACAGGAGAGGGCGTGCCTTCACCACGTGACTGTTGGGGCCGCGGCTGTGCCTGGAGCCAGGGAGGCGGCCGTGGACAGGATCACGGTCTTGCCTTTGAGAAACCACAGGCTGGCGAAGCAGCCTAAAATACCCGGGCCCTGCGGACTCACGGCGCCTCCTGTCGGCACGGGCAGCAGGCAAGGGAAGGGTTCATTGTGCTGCTGGAGGCGTGAGACAGCAGAGCCTCGGGGGGTGAAGGCAGCCCCCAGGAAGATGCGGCTAGAGTGTGTAGGAGGCGTGGCCCCGGTGGGCGGCTGTGTGACAGGTGCTGGAACTTGGTGGGGACGGCTGCTGGGGGGTCCCTGGGCCATCGGGGACACGGCCCTCCAGGGGGGTCCGTGCATTCTCAGAAGAGGCTGTTAGGAAGAGCCAGCCCGGCCCCGCCCCTCCCCCGTTCCCCGTGCTCCTGCCACCTGCCCTGCAGCCCTCAAGGGCCGAGCTGATGCTGGTGCCGTGCCCTGCGCCTCCCGACCTGGGGCCAAATACACCCCTGTTCGTTCTGAAGAGACCACAGAGTCTGCCTGCGGCAGCGGACGACAGACCAAGCAGCGGTGGTGGGGGCCGGGGACGTCTCCGCAGAACTCCCGGGTCTGCAGGAAAGGCAGGAGCACGGACCAGGCGCTGCGACGGCGACAAAGCTCCTGGCCGCGAGCTGAGACCCGGGCTCACCAGCTGTCTCTGGGTCTGCCGAGGACCTCGTCCTCAGCACTGTCCACGCTGCTGTCCCCCTCGCCCATGCCACTGTCCCCCTCGCCTGTGCCGCTGTCCACCACGCTGCTGTCCCTCGCCCACGCCGCTGTCCCTCTCATCCACGCCGCTGTCCCCCTTGCCCACACCTCTGTCTCCCTCACCCACGCCACTGTCCCTCTCATCCATGCTGCTGTCTCCCACGCCCATGCCGCTGTCTCCCTCGTCCACGCCACTGTCCCTCTCATCCACGCCGCTGTCTCCCACGCCCACGCCGCTGTCCCCCTCACCACGCCGCTGTCTCCCACGCCCACGCCACTGTCTTCCTCATCCACGCCGCTGTCCCCCTTGCCCACTCCTCTGTCTCCCTCACCCACGCCACTGTCCCTCTCATCCACGCCGCTGTCTCCCACGCCCACGCCGCTGTCCCCCTCACCACGCCGCTGTCTCCCACGCCCACGCCACTGTCTTCCTCATCCACGCCGCTGTCCCCCTTGCCCACTCCTCTGTCTCCCTCACCCACGCCACTGTCCCTCTCATCCACGCCGCTGTCTCCCACGCCCATGCCGCCATCTTCCTCGTTCACGCCACTGTCCCCCTCACCACACCGCTGTCTTCCTCGTCCACGCCGCTGTCCCCCTTGCCCACGCCACTGTCTTCCTCATCCATGCTACTGTCCCCCTTGCCCACACCTCTGTCTCCCTCACCCACGCCACTGTCCCTCTCATCCACGCTGCTGTCTCCCACGCCCATGCCGCTGTCTCCCTCGTCCACGCCGCTGTCCCCCACGCCCATGCTGCTGTCCCCCTTGCCCACACCGCTGTCCCCCACACCACTGTCCCCCTCACCCACACCTCTGTCTCCCTCATCCACACCGCTGTCCCCCACACCACTGTCCCCCTCACCCACACCTCTGTCTCCCTCATCCACACCGCTGTCCCCCACGCCCACACCGCTGTCTCCCACACCGCTGTCCCCCTCGTCCATGCCACTGTCCCCCTCGCCCATGCCTCATCCGTTCATCCTCCTCGTCCCCGTTGCCCCTCTGGTCTCAGCAGTCCCATCAGCTGTGTCCAGGTGGGCTCCTGGGCGTCTCCTGTTGGCCACTGCTGGCTGTTCTGTACTTCCTGTGTGACTTTGGAGCGTGTGCCACGTGGAAGCCGACTGTGAGCACCTGCGCGCGCCTGTTTCGTGGTCACCCCTGGACTCGTCTCCCCCCCCCAGCCTGTGTCCCTGGTCTCCGCGGTGGGAACCCTCGCCGGCGCTGTCCCGAGTCCCCAACTCCTCAGCTAACACCTGCTGCCTGCCAGGCCCCACCGCCCCTCTCCGATCCGCTCAGGAGTTCTGGTTCCCTCCACCGGGCTCGGCGTCCTCCATGAACCTGCTGTGGCAGGGATGGGGCTCTCAGGCCACCTGCCCCTCAGAGCCTCACCCTGGGAGGTGGGTGCTCGTGTTTCCTGCTCCCGGGCAGCAGATCCGGTGAGGGAAGGCAGGAGCCCTGGGGGTCCTTGGCAGCCATGCCGAGGTTGGCTTCGGAACGAGACGGGATCTCAGTTTCGATTTCCATGTTGTGGATGAGAGGTGCGTGGAGTTCAGGAGGCGGAAGGTGGCAGAGCTGAGCCTGAAATCGGGCGGAGAAGCCCCGGGTCCCCAGGCAGCGTCCGTGCCGCGCCTCCTTCTGCAGCGATGTCGGGCACCGGGAGAAAGACCCCCCAAGCCGCGATCTCTCGCACGTCCGGCTGGTTTTTTTTTATGAGGGACTTATGCAGTGTCCTGAAGTTTTCTTCTTTCCTTTTCTGAAGTATGTATGCACTTACTTGAAAGGCAGAGTGACAGAGCGAGGTCTTCCCTCTGCTGGTTTACTCTCCACATGACTGTGAGGGCCAGGAGCCGGGAACTCCATCTGGGTCTCCCACGTGGGTGCAGGGCCCACGCACTTGGGGCATCCTCTGCTGCCTTCCCAGGCCACAGCAGGGAGCTGGGTGGGAGCAGAGCAGCTGGCCCTGGAGCCGGCGCCCTGGCACGGAGCACCAGCACCACAGGGGGCATCTTAGCCCTCCGCCCCGTTTTCCTCTACTCCCTGGGTGTTCGGCAAGTGTGTGTGGAACATCAGTGTGTCACGCATGTGCACATCTGTGCATCACAGACTGTCCTAGGCGTTAGGTGGACAGAGGGACAGGACCCCTCCCTTCGAGGGTTCCCCACTCAGCAGGGGCGCGGATGCAGGATCCTCTGCAGTGCACTGAAGTGGGAGAGGGCGGGGCTGGCGGCCAGCGGCTGCACAGAGATGGGGGAGGGGCAGAGTCCCAGGTGGGGAGCAGTCCAAGGTGGTGGCAGCGGAGGGGAGCGCAGGGTGGGGGTGCTGATGTCCCGGTGTTATCCTGGCCATGGGGAGCCCTGAGAATGTGTGACAGGTGCGGGCCAGCAGCTCCCCGTTGGGGGCCGTCACATGTAGCGCTGCTGTCTCTTCGTGAGAGTCAGTCGCAACACTGCAAGTGCAGCCGTGCGTTCTGAGAGCCGTGCCGTCGGTGACTGAGTGAGCGTCACGGCCGGGGTGGCCGGTTCCGGGGTTGACCAGCTGTTGCCGCTGGCACGTGCCTGTCCGCGTGTGGCCCTGTGAGCGTGGTTTCTGAGCCGTATGATGTGCTGAGGTTTTGACAGGCTGCAGGTGCGTCCTCGAGGTTGGCAGATTTTAGTGTCGGGGCCACAGTAGATTCTGGTCTGGTTTGGGGGCAGGCTGGCTGCACTGAGTTCTGTGAGCAGCTCTGACGTGTCTCCCTGGTGCTGCCACACGCAGTGCCGACGCCGCCTTCCTGGCTTCGCTCCGGGTGTGCACCATTTTTTAACCATGTAAAGGCGTTATCAGCGCAATCTGCCAATTTTAAAATAACTTTTAAAACTCCGTCATGTATTCGAAAGCCGGTGCTAAGTAATCGCCATAAATCCCCTCGTGAAATCTTGGTGATCGTGGCGTGGGGGGCCATCCAGCTTCCGGAAGCCGCGTGGTGGGGCCGTGTGCCTCCTGCGACGGTGGGTCCCCGCGATGCTGGTGGCCGCTGGCGGCTCTGCCCAGGCGCAGGTGGAACAGAAGTGCCCCGCCCTCCCTGCCACAACCTGAAACAGTTTCCCCTCAGGAAAGCCTCGTTTTTGTTCCTTTTTTTCCACTCAACGGCTTTGAGACCTGGGCTCCCCCTCACCCCGAGAGCTTCCATCGGCAGCCTGGCCGCTGACCCTGGCCTGTGCCGGCCGGCAGTCGTGACCTGGCCGTGCTTGGGGCGTGCCCGGGACTGTGCCCTGACAGCCCCCGCGGGTGGCCACACCTGCCCGAGACCTGCTCTCAGCCTGGTGCTCCCCGACACTGAGAGCCCGAGGCGGGGCCGTGTAGTGCAACCCACGAGAGGCCTGGGCCAGCCGTTCTTCTTTTTTAAAAGGCTTATTTGTTTATTTATTTGAAAGGCAGAATTACAGACAAAGAGGGAGAGACAGAGAGAGGTCTTCCATCTGCTGGTTCACTCCCCAGATGGCCAGAGCTGGGCCGATCTGAAGCCAGGAGCCAGGAGCTTTTTCCGGGTCTCCCACACGGGTGCAGGGGCCCAAGCACTTGGGCCATCATCCACTGCTTTCCCAGGCCAGAGCAGAGCTGGATTGGAAGTGGAGCAGCTGGGACATGAACCAGCACCCATTTGGCTTAACCCATTGTGCCATGGCGCCGGCCCCTGACCGTTTCTTGTGTGTGATGAGCACAGGGTCTCATGAGGGCCCCGTGGAGCTCCCTGTCCCTGCTGGCTTTGGGGGGAAGGCGCGCAAGGGCAGCACCTTCGTCTTCCTCTGGGGACTGGGGCCGCGTGGACTGGGGCACGGAGTCACGTGCTCAGGAGCGTCCACACTCAGGCAGGCAGGCAGGCGCAGGCGTCCCCGAGGCCGGCTGCCCCTTCAGCTCTTAAGCACAGCCCTCCCGAGTGTGCAGGCGGCGGGGGTGAGCCAGCACCCTGCTTCCAGGCCTGCTCCCCCTCCACGCAGGCCCGGCCCTCGGTCATCGGGGCGGTCAGCCCAGGATCGCTGCGGCTTCCCGGGAGGGCCCTCAGCGTAGCCGCTGGCAGCTGCCGACAGATCTCGCTGCACATCCTGCCAGCCGTGCGAGATGCGCTGCTTCCTCCCTGTAACCTCCAGTCGGAACGCTGTGTTCCTTCCCACCGCCAAGGGCTTCCCGGGCCTTCACTCAGCCCTTGCGGGACCAGGAAGCCTCCGCACTCACATCCCCAGCAGAGGGCGCTCTGGTCCCGGGACCAGGGCATCACTGTCCACTCGGAATGGGGACGACGGGGAGGAAGGAGCCAGCCTTTAGCAGATGTTACGACTGTTTAGTGGTGGGACGTTGCAGATGGGGGGCTGGCCAGTGTGCTGGGACCCTGAGCTCGGCCACGTGGGAGACGTCTCCTCTCCCCCTGCTGGGAAAGGCGGCAGAGTCAGGGAGGGCAGCTCCACACAGAGGCTGTCGCACGCTGCCGATGGCAAGATGGACACGGCTGACCTTTGGGGAGAAGGTCAAGGTCACGCCGCAGACCCCCGAGCTCCTCCCAGTCCCGCTGCTGAGGCTGCCACCCCCGCTGCCGACGCTCGCGCCTGACCCCAGAGCACACGGCCCTCGCCGTGGGGCCAGTGCCAGGCTCTCTGCTCACACCCACGTGCCTGGGAGAGCTCCGTGACCGTTGCGTTGTCACTTACTCCCGGCGTGCCGACTGAGGAATCAGCGGCTTAACGGCCGTGCCAGCCCTCACCGCTGTCGCGCTTGGCAGTGCAGGGACCGGGCATCAGCGGTGGCCGCTCTGTCTTGGTTCGGGGCCTGGATGTTCCGGAAACGCTTTCTAGAATCTGCCTGCTTCGAGCTGCCTGCCTCTGCAGCAGGAGGTTTACTCTCCTAAAAATGCTGGTTAACCTGCTGCTAGACAGTCAGTAGATGTCAGCGAGAAAACCACTTATCATTGACACACGACTCACGCTGGTGTCCTTGCCCGGGGACCCGGGCTATGGGGTGTGCGCTGAGCCTGGTGGCTGTAGGACAGGGCTGTGGGGTAGAGCTGTGTGGCTGTAGGACAGGGCTGTGGGGTACAGCTGTGTGGCTGTAGGTAGGGCAGGGCTGTGGGGTCTGAGCTGTGTGGCTGTAGGACAGGGCTGTGGGATCTGAGCTGTGTGGCTGCGGGACAGGGCTGTGGGGTCTGAGCTGTGTGGCTGTAGGTAGGGCAGGGCTGTGGGGTCTGAGCTGTGTGGCTGTAGGACAGGGCTGTGGGATCTGAGCTGTGTGGCTGCGGGACAGGGCTGTGGGGTCTGAGCTGTGTGGCTGTGGGACAGGGCTTTGGGGTCTGAGCTGTATGGCTGTGGGACAAGGCTGTGGGGTAGAGCTGTGTGGCTGTAGGTAGGACAAGGCTATGGGGTCTGAGCTGTATGGCTGTGGGACAAGGCTGTGGGGTCTGAGCTGTGTGGCTGTAGGACAGGGCTTTGGGGTCTGAGCTGTGTGGCTGTGGGACAGGGCTGTGGGGTAGAGCTGTGTGGCTGTAGGGCAGGGCTGTGGGGTCTGAGCTGTATGGCTGTGGGACAGGGCTGTGGGGTAGAGCTGTGTGGCTGTAGGACAGGGCTGTGGGGTCTGAGCTGTGTGGCTGTAGG